AGTCTCTATCCTTGGAGATATTCAAAAGCCAACTGGACACGAACCCAGGCAGTCTGCTCTGAGCGTCCCTGCTTGAGCCCATGGGGTTGGAACAGATGACCTCTGGAGGTCCCTTCCCACCTCAACCATGCTGTGATTCTATGAGAAAAGCTTTTTAGTATGTTAGAGGAAAAAAAAAAGGAAGTGCTGGCTTTTGGGGCAATATGGAAGGGATGATGGTAAGAACAATGTTAATTGCACTTAAGATAAAGGGCCTTTCTCTGATACCGAAGCTGGTTTTAATTTATACTGAGCTTCCATACTTCTATCTGTTGCTTCTTGTAGCAAGTAGCTAAACTTGGGTTGGTCCTACTTTGCAAGACTGATAAAGTACAATTATAACACACTTTTTTTTTTAAGTTAGTTTTGACAAACAGCCAATGTGGGTTTCTTGTGTTTTCATCTTCTTTGAAATAGCTTGTCCCCCTTGGGGAAAAAAAAAAAAGTCAGGGAGACAGCGCAAATTGTCAGATGAGAAATGCTTAAAGTAATAATGATATTTAAAAAAAAAAAAGCTGTGGAGTATATTCTACATACCTAACCTTGCTATACTGACCTTCTAGATCCCTCATTCAGAATGATACTCTTAAAATAGACAGTAAATGATACATATCATCTAGGGTGTTTCTTACACATTTATTGTATTATATATAAAATAGTATTAAATAAACACAAATATCATGGAGTTTCTTTGCAGAAACTCAATTTTCTTCTGTTTAGAATGAAAGAGAATTCAATTTGTGTTGTCTATTGGTATATGTAAGCACAAATTAATTATTGCTTTATGGAAGACTCTTATCTTCTTTGGTGAATAAGGGGTAACATTTTCCACCCTTTCCCCAGTCTCTCTTTCAGGAAGCAATTGTATTTAAATTTCATCATGGACGAGTGAGACACAATTAAAAATGTTCTGGTATTTTCAAGATTTAGATACCGAACTTTTGTAAGTGATTCTTGTAAGAACTCACAATTCTTACATTTCTGTAAGATGTGGTAGAACCTCTGACAATCTTGGTTGAACACAATTAATTTACTCAGGGAGATGAACAATTTCATGTGTCAGTGGAATTTATGAAGGTGAAACAGGCAATCTTAATGTGTTAGGCTAAGTCCACTTCATTTATGATTTTAGGCAATACATGGAATACACTAGGAACAATAACTTGCTTGTTTTAGGCATCTACCAGGCACTTGAGCTGGTCACCACACCAACAAAAAATTGTAGAGCTTAGTGGAGCTTCTGAGTAGGTAACCAAACCAACTGCTCTAGAAACTTGGGGGTTTGCCATTCCTTGGTGCGTTCTAGCAGATCGTCTCTATTCTGTTAACTCAGTTTACATAAAGATGCAATTGGGCTCTGGGCCAAGTGCATCTGCTAGTGTATTCTAATCATGTTGAAACTGTTAAATATATTTAAAAGTCTTTTGTAACTTTTCCCCTGAAAAGGCTAAGATGAAGTGTTTTCTTAACTGAAGTAGCTCATTCTGAAAGATAAGGATGCTTTCTGAGAGTGAACATACCGAAACTTGTTGTATCACTGTTCTTTTTCAAGGACAGAATCTAGATCAAGTTGTCCTTGAATTCAAGAAGACCTTATATTAAGAAAAGTACAGTTACTGTGAGAAGAGAAAGTTCTCTGTACACTAATTTTGTAGGTAGGGCTGAAGGGTACCTTGTATTTGATAAATGTTTCGTTCTTGCTTTTCATGGTTTCAAATCAGGGCAATATCCTAGAGTTCTGCAGATAACTATCTTACTGCATGTAGGATTTTTTCAACATTAATATTAGTATTTCTTAATAGTGTTCTGTGTTACCTTTGAATTATGCTAAAACTTCTGTTATTGCTAAATATTAAATGTTTCTTCTGACAACTGTCAGATGCTAGGTAGCACTTCTGAAAAACATCAGCATGGGGAGTTCAAGGTCTGCAACTATGAATGTTTTTCAGGACTGTGTTCTTCAGAGCATGTTCTTTTAAGTGCTGTGATTTTTATGGAATACTTTTCTGTGGGAACTGTCTAATTTATGTAGGATCTCTGAAGTTTTTCACCAGTGCGTATGAAGATGACTTTTGCATCCTGTAGCTGTTTGACAAGCATTATTTATCAAGTACGGAGGAAATTGATTAACTGTGGAGCAGGATTGTGTAAAATTGAATTCAGAACCATTTTCTGTTTTTTCATAATAAAATGATTACTGAAAGAATTCCATCTGATGACTGTTGAAAGCTGGCTGCAGTTTATGATATAACGGATAAAATCTGCATCCTTGGCCTTCCAACAACCTTTACACCAGCAGATGGTGGGCGTAAAGATGTCATTCATCATTTATTTACAATGGGCTTTATTTATTCTAGTGTCAACAGCTGCCCCAGGGAGCGGGTTATTGAATTCAAATGTGAAGCTCTGGGTTATTTGCTTCCTTTCAAATTTGTCTTCAGAGCTTAGTTGCTAGGAGTCCATTCTGTGCTCTAATAATGATTCATGTATTGTGAAGCCATTCAGTAAATTGGGTTGTCAGGGATTGCCAAAAAAGGTTTAGAGGTCTTGTTCCGACTTTTTTTTTTTAAACAGCACTGTGCTGTAGTTGGTGTCTTATGTGCCTTCTCTTGTCTGGTGTTGGAGACTTTGTCCCCAGTTGTCCCCTCTCTGATTTCCTCTCCATACTCCTTCTTGTTCCTGTCCTCTCAAAAGTAGAATTCTATGATTCTGTGATTCTAAGCGTGTGGTTTTCAGCACCAAAAAAGAAATTTGATATATGAAATAATGAGACTTTGTCGTCTACAGGCAGGGCAGGAGTCCTTCCGTTCCATTACGAGGTCATACTACAGAGGGGCAGCAGGGGCTTTACTAGTGTATGACATTACAAGGTGAGAATACTGAGAAGGTATAACTGGATTACAATTATATGTCTTTGTAGAATTGTTATGATACATAGTGGTGTTAAAACGTCGAATTTATTTTGCTGTTTTGTGTAGATATTTATAATGTTTTGCCAACTTTTCTTAACTGCTCAAAATCAAGATACAGTCTGTGTAACCTATGTACTTCAAATTTTCTCTGCATAATGGTTGAGGAAAAGTATGCATCAAGTCTCAAAGAATGAAACAAAATATTTTTATAAGCTAATTGACCTCTGGATTACCTTTATTGAGAAAGACCTTAAAATATTTCTTTAATTCCTTTCTAGTGTTTTTTATTACCATGAGCTGTAACTTTTCTTTAATGATAGCAGATTTTTTTACTGAAGTGCCGTTCTGCAAAGGGGTAAAATAATAAAACATCAAAGTTTGGTTACATAAAAATACCAGGAAACTTCTACCATTACTGTGTTTATGAGGTAGGGAAAATACAGATCTTAGTGTGATTTTTGTAGCAGCTCTTCAGAAGTGACTACGGTTTTCCTGCTGTATTGAATACAGTCTCTATACAACTGATGTGCAAAACTGTGGGTACTGCGGCTGGTTCAGGCTCCAAAATCCTATTAGGGTGTGTGGCTCCCTTTGTGCATCTTGGGTCCCGTTGCTGAATTAAGCAACAACTGTTACTAGAGATTTCCTAGACGTTTTTCCTTTTTATTCCCATTTTATTTTTAAATATCAGGAAGCAACATGTTCTTTCTATTGGATTTCCAGAGAATGAATCTTTAATTCATAAATAGAAGGTTTTATTCTTGTGAAATCTTAAACACACTTCACAAGCATGTGATTTAATATTTAGTGTTCACATTCTGTAAAATCTGTAACATGCCGTATTCGTGTACTTTACTTTTAAAAGACTTCGCTCCTGAATTCATTATTCAGTTTATAAACTCACAGAAAATTGTCAACCACTTTCTGTCTTCAGTAGAACAAATATTGCTATGTGAGTATGTGATTATTTGTACTGTTTGAATTAGTTGAGGCTGTTAGGGACTTTTAAAATTTCATTCAGCGGATTTTATGTGTATATAAAACTACAGATTCTTACAGCTATAAGAATCCTCTTTGCTCTTTGTAGCAAACATGTTTTCAATTACTTTTTAGACAGAGTTCATTAAAATGCTCCTTGTTTACTAAATTTTTGTTCGCCTATTCTCCCTCTCACAAAGGGATTACTAGCTTTTATCCCTGGAGCATGCGTACTAATAAATGAGTTGGTCACTCAAGTAGAGAAGGTGCCTAACAGACGGGAAGGAGATTTCTTGAAATAATGCTGTTAATTTTCATTCTCTTCCACACTTAGGAGGGATACTTTCAACCACTTGACAACTTGGTTAGAAGATGCTCGTCAGCATTCCAATTCCAACATGGTTATAATGCTTATTGGAAATAAAAGGTAAAATTTAAGCAGTTATGATTTTGTAAGTGATAAAAGTTACAGCTTCTCTGAATTTGAACTTTTGTGTTTTTCTTATGTGTAGGCAGTATATTACATTTAAATTACTTTCAGCCACTGGACGTAGTTTTGTGGTGAATCTAAAACCTTTCCTTTTTTAATTAGACTAATAAAATGTGCAGCACATATGGATCAACTACCTTATGTTCAGAGTACCTTTTTTAGAAGTAATTTTATTTTATAAGAATTGACTGTGAATGCATGAAGTCATGGGTTATATGAATTATTTTTCTCATTACCTTTTTTACATCTGGAATCACCAGTTAGAAGCACCTAGATCTCTCCCTTATAAAGAGAATGACTCCTAATTTTAAATGTTCTAAAGTGCTTTAGTTTTTGGTTAAGAAACACAGCAGAGAAAATGTCATTTAAAAAAAAAAAAAGCCCATGCTACAGGATTCTCTTCAAAAACTTTTCTCAAATGTGAAAAGTGCGTACCTTTAATCATTACATGAGATGTTTCTAAATTCTGTGCCTGTTTCATGTTATGAATGTTTTAGCTGGGGTTGGGGGCATTCTTGAAGGTAAAGATGCCAGTTGAAATAATGGTGCATGCTTGTCCCTTAAAATTTAATGATCAGCCAGATCATTTCTTAGATACTAGTGAGAAATAGCCTTGTGGTGAGGAGGGTCTGGTTTTGCTACTCTGGCCTGTTCACCTCTTATTTTGTTGTTCTTCCCCCTTCTCCCTTCTGTTTTCCTCCTTCTACCTCCCTTGTCCTCTACCTCCCCCTGAAAAATATGTTAAGTGTTAAGTAATTGTGAAGCTTGTCCACATTTCTACACATCATCTGGAAAACTAACAACAACGTTCTTAATTGAGGAAAGTGATAAGCGTAATATTGACAAACTAATAAGAAATGTAATCTCTTTTATTAAATGCAGCTTTGGTAAGCCTGTGGTTTCCCTGACCAACTGTTTTTTTGCTTATATGGGTAAAAATATGGCACCGAGAGAAACACTAAAGTGCACTGTTTGCTTATTACATAAGTTTGCATATTAATTGACATCTGTAACTATTCCTGGTTATTCTTAGCTGTTGAACTGAATTTTTGCCTTGCATTCTGCTGATGCAGAGTATATCACATGATTGTATGTTATAATAGCTACTTGCAGCTAGCTCAGTGATTCCCAATTACAACTAGATTTTATTCAAACAATATACTTATGTATTTTAAGTTACAGGTTAAGGTGGCATATGAAGTAAAAGTTCTTTAAGAAGCTTTTTAAAGGGGATTACTTTCAAGCTTCAAAGAGAAGGAAGGGATGAAAACTCCCTCAATTACATTGCATTATCCCGAAAGTGTGTTACAGGAGTTCTTATGGTAGGGCATACTACTAGCAATGGATGGATAGATGGAAGGAAGAATGTGTGTACTAGCATAGTATTTTTGAAGGAATAAATTTTGTTCTTATGAGTCCTGAAAGTGCACTTGATACATGTTAGTAGTACTGACTTACTGCTGGATTTGAAGAGTGAGAATTTAGTCTGAAATATAATAGCTGTTCTTTGGAAACATTACAAATACTAGTGTTAAAACATGACAAGTACTCTACTTAATCTTCTTTCCAGAACAAAACATAGCTATATCGATCTAGTAAGACCAAATACTTCGAATTATTGGAATGGAGAGAGGAAGACAACTGTGGTTAGTAGAAGCAGTTAAAGCTCTTTAAGAATATGTTCAGATGTGAGTAGTAAGTTTATTTTTGAGGGTAGCATGGTAGTAGCAAATAAAGACATGGCCCAAGTTCAGAAATACGATGTTGCATAGCTACTTCAGGGACATGAGAATCAACATCTCGTTAAGATATCTTAAACCTGAGGCTGAGATAGTGGGAACACTTGCGTATAATGAACATCAACTTTAAAACTGTTTTTCATAGATTCATAGATTTCTAGGTTGGAAAAGACCTTAGACATCATCGAGTCCAACCATCCCTAATCCCCATTAAACCATATCCTCAAGTAGATCGTCAAGAAGACGTTTCTTGTATCCTTACCTTCAAATGCTCCATGTTTAAATGATGTGCTGAATTGTCTTGACTCTGTAACTCATCTGAGCTAGCATGTAGTTTTAAAAATAACAAAAACCTGTTTTGCTGCAAAATAGATGCCACAGTGAGTATCGTTTATTTTTAACATATACGTATAATTACAAGGATGGCAGTACTGAAGCCCAGTATGATACTTTTTGCTGATATTCTGACTGCGGATTAAACCTGTGTATTTGCATGATACCTAGTTTAAAAATGTGTATCTGAGAGGATATTTTTACATGCAGAACTTAAATGAAGCTTTATTTAAATGTTATATTTATTATTCATGTATAAATGTAGCACTGTTATTGTTCAAGATGTAACATACCTACAAAGAAAAACAAATTGTGTACTTTTTGTTCCTAAAGAAGATTTAAAAAGTAAGAGTGAAATGCTTATGTGTCTATATGACTTACAGAAGCAAATTTGTCTTTAGTTGTGCAGGCCAAGAGGCATTTTTTTCTGTTCTTTTGTGTAATATTTAAATTTTATCTACCCTGCTTGGAAAGCAGGAGACAAGAAACTGTGTAACAGTCACTTCAGATTCTTCTGTTAGAGAGCCAGACCTGGAGTTTCAAAACCTAAATGGTAACTTGTTGGGAGAGAACAGCTAATATAGTTCAAAATAACTTATTTTTGCTTTTAAGTCATCTTATCAGAACATAAATTGACTATATGAAGCTTTGTTACTGAACAGAATAAAGGAATTTTATTTTTTTAAATTATTTTTAATATCATTAAGAAATTGTGTATAAAACTCCCTTATCAGATCAGGTTTACAGTGTGGATCAGTAGATAACATTATACTAGAAAAGACTGATGTTTACCTAAAATGGCAATGTCCAAAGTTTACATTCAAGGAATAGCTAAATAAATATACACGCATCCTGTTGAAAGCAGTTTCATAAGTCTTTGATAAGATCTATTTCAGCTAGGACTGGTAGCTCAAGCAAGTGTGATGTCTGTGGCTACTCTGTATACTGTAAGTGCAAGGCTTACAGCAATTCCATTTATGGAAGGGCTTGAATAGATACTCATCTGTACATAAGTTCTAATGGGAGCTCTTGGCTTATAAGCATGTCTCTGAAGAATAATATTTATGTGGACAGGTTAGACGATATAGCTAACTTATTTTTTTTTCCCATGTTAGTGATTTAGAATCTAGACGAGAAGTCAAGAAAGAGGAAGGTGAAGCATTTGCACGAGAGCATGGACTTATCTTTATGGAGACATCTGCCAAAACTGCTTCCAATGTAGAGGAGGTAACTTTGAACACTGGTATTTTAGTAAAGCAGTTGTTTTTAATTGCACTTCGTTATTTGTACAGATACTATTCCTCTAGGTTTTGAATTCCTTAAGTTGAATTAACTGCTCTTTTGTTTAGATTATGAGAAAGACAATGTCTATGTTGTGCCTGATTTCATAGCACTAATTATATTGTTAAGACTCTAGTAAGTAATACACTTGTGGGGTTTTATTTAAATATTTGATCAGAGAAGCGGGTGCTTCTGTCTGCCCTGAAATCTAAAAAGTAAGACTAGAATAGATTTGCTAGTCTAAAGCAAGCCAAGCTATTGGTATCCTTGGCAGATGTCAATCTAATCTGTTCTACAGACCTCTAATATTACACAGGATCTTCAGAGCAATCTGTTGCAGTGCTTCGATATTTGTGTTGTTGTGATCTTTGCCCTTGGCTACCTAACAGAAATCTTCTTTGCTGCAATTCACACACACAATTTTTTTCTGTCCTATACAGAGCTGCTGAAGAGGTCATTATCTTGGTTGCTGTAATCTGCTACGTATTTGAATAAGTTTTTCAATCTTTGCTACTTCAAAGAACTTAAGTGTTCTAACTTTCTATTTCTCATTGAAAAGCTTTAGGATATAATACTTTTTAGTGACAATCAAATGCACCCCGTAAGTTATATTCTCAGTCAACTCTAAAAGAGGTGGCATGATCTAGAATAGTTACAGCTGAAGGAGCAAAGTCTTAATCTTTGAGCCAGTAAAAATAAGCAAGGAGAAATACTAGGCATGGTAGGTGAAAGATGACTACTTTGTGGACAAGAGAGACCATTTTCATTTTAATGCTGATTCTGGACTTTTCCATATCAAAAAAATAGAAGGGAACGAGAAAGGAAATCATGTGGAATGGGCAATATTTGAGGAAAGAACAAGAAGTGTGCAAAACAGAGGCAAATCTAGCAAGCCTTCAGTACTTGACTTCAGGACTGGAAAGAAACGATAGTTTTGTGACTGCCTGAGGATGTAGAAACTAAACAGGAAGAAGAACGTTTGAGGTAATTCAGCTAAAATTAGATTAAATTTTAAGCAGAAGACATCTGTAGCCCTGTGTCTACAAATGTTATCTTATGTGGTGGCAGTGGAGAATGTTTTTACTGGCTTCTTTGGGAAACTAAGGGCTGAGAAAGTAATACTGTTAAATTTTTGCATTGGTGGAAATACACTGGATCTAAGAAGCTGGACATTGCAAATCTCTGAATTTGCATCTGGATTATACAGTGTATCAGATGTTTTAAAACGTATTTGTGTTAAAAGCGTTGAAGCAGACACCTTCTCCTACTTGCTTAAGGTTTCAGATAAATTGTCAAAATACTTTTTATGTGTTTGAGTGTCGGGATGCTCGTCTTTTCCAAAAGTACTAGAGTTTTTAGATAGAACTACTGAAGTCAAAGAGACTCTAATTGTGTGGAGGTTATTGGAGGCTGAGGGGAGAAAAGGTGTGGGGTTTGGAGGGGAAGGAATATCCCCTTACTTACGCAGCAGCATTTTAATCCATGCTGATAAATCACTGATGACTGTAGCGTATCATGCATGGGTTATGTAGTTAACCATTACAGTGCCAGGATACCTGTAGAAATCTTTAACAATGAACACGTTTGCAGCATCAGCAGTGTTGAAAGAGCAGGTGATTTTACTTGAGAGGATAGAGCTCCAGAGCAAAATGGTAGATGTAGATTCGGACTAGCCAACAGCGAAGACTTATGCAAACAAAAGTTTACATGAATACAGCTTCAGAAACATCTAAGAATTATGTGCCCCATTTAGGCCTCTGTTCTCTTCTGTGCCTTGTATTAACAAAGTCTTATAGAATGATAAAACTAAGGTTTAAGATTCATTTTTAATTCAGTTTTCAGCCTTCTCTCTGTCTAACCCACCAACAGGAAATATTCTCAAAAGGGGTGTCTTGGAGAAAGACACGTGCATGTGTACTATGGAAATGCATGCATGTAACAGGCTAGAACATTGCTAGGTAACAACTGGTGTCTTGATTCCTCCTTGCTTTCCCAAAAGAGGGATTTTACCATACTGAAATCTTGTAGTTGACTAATAAAGCCTTGGCCTGCTGCGTTTGCGCCCGTGTTGCAATGTGTAGTGGTTGCTACATGAAACAAAGTAGTAGTGGAAGTGTATTTCTGGGTATTGAAGGAAGTAAAGTAAGTGTCAGGAAAAAAATGACAACAAAGAAGTGACACAGTATCCAGTAATAGGCCTTAAACTATTCTTCCAGCCATTTGAGAGAAATAGTTAGATGACACTTGGAGATATCTGTCCAAAGTATAATTAGGAAGAATATCCATTTTTCCTGGCCAAACATGTTTTGTGGATTAAATGATTTGTTTCATTACAGAACTAGTTCTCAAACTTTACTTTTGGGATCTAAGGCAAAAATACTCATGGCAAAAGAATCAAGACTGTTAAGGGTTTAGAAATAATAATCTTAGATTGTTCACAGAAGCCCTTCCTCAAATCATTTGAATCCTGTAGTCTTCTGTAGCCTACTTCAGTAAGTGGAAGCAGTCTATCTCATTATAAACATAAAAGGCTGCTCAAAGTACTAGTTGCCAGAATTTTATTTATTTATTTTAACAAAAATGCTTTCATGCATGTTTTTAGTATAGAAAATAGAGTAAAATCATCATCTTTGGTTCTTTAGGATGGCTGCTTGTATCAGTAATTTCTGAAGTAGTAAAGGAAACTTCTCAGACAGTTAAAACCTTCTGAGATAGTTCTTCGTGGAAAAAATAATTTCAGAAGTGTTCTGAAGTAAATGACTGCTTTGTAAAAAAGCAAGATTATAACAGTCTCTTTTTTCTGAACCACTCACACTGCAGTTATAGATATCTCTATAGAAGATGGATTAATTCTCATGTACCTTTTGGTTGACATCGGGAAGTCTCACAAAGAAACTCTATAGCAAGTGCTTTTTATCCACTTTTATTATTCTCAAGACACTGTTAGCTGTACAGGTTACTGTATTGTTCTCAGTCCCACACAGTTAGTGTGCTATCTCACCACATTCCACATTTTTCTGAACAGCTACGTTGTTGGGGGCATTGCCTTGTATACTATCGAGTCTGTGCTATCACCTTGAGAATCTTGGGCTGCTCACCACGTGAGCGTTTCTGCAGGGTCTGGTTCAAGATCTGGCACACACTTCTTAACTTCACTGTCCGTAGTCTACATCCAGATTAATACCTGGCCCTGCAGCAACAGGGCTAGTATCTGTGTGGCTTTTGTACGCTGAATACCACATTCTTGTCACTGGGGAATTCAGGAGGGGCAGTGTGGCATTACAAACTGGTGGTGCTACATGCGTTAACAGGCAGATCTGCATCATCAAGCACAAACAGCCATAAAAGTCTTGTGGTCCTAGTCAGTGCCAGGCTGCTTGCATTTCACGCGGATGTAACACTGAAGCACAGCAGCACATGGCTATATGTCTCCTGTGTTGCACTGGAAGCAGTTAAATGGCCAGAGGAGACTTTTTTCCTAATGGATTTTTTTCATCTCTCTAGTTGAAAATATATGTTTCTCTGTCAGAAGTGACAACATAAGCCTCTAGACTTTGTTTTGATCAGTTTGAGATTGTTTCTGAGCCAACTTTATCTTCCTTTGTGTGATGTCTGTTGTAGATATTTGCAAGCTAATGGTGGAGTCTTTAGCAGTTTCTTTACATGAACAAATCAGTTTCTGTCATGAATTTACGTTGTTTTCCTTGTTTAAACCTGATTTCCACCACCGTGTAATGCCTTGGCCAATCTCTAGCTGTAGCAGTGCATTGACCTGTTCTGTTCAGTGCTTGGATCTTAGACAATTTGAAAATATTCATTACGTTCTTCAGGATTATGTGTTGTAACCTACATGTTGAATAAAATGTTTAGCGGTGGAGAATATCTTGTTAGCTCTTCATCTTGTGCAAGGCTGTTTGCCTTATACCCTGTTTGCACAATAAGTCATTGATAGTTGGGAGCAGGAAGTAGATTTAGGCGCTTCCTTTGTAGTTTCTGTGAAGGCTTCTAAGAATTCAGTGTGGCGCAGAGTTAAATCATTGTGTTAAATATGGATTTGGATTGGGCGAGAAGAGTTTCTGAATCATTGGGAGGGTAAAAGAATTATTGAGGGGGACGGACGACGGGACGTTAAGCACAGGGTTACACTTTGACTGCCATGCAGGGCCAGTTTTACTGGTTGCTGCAGTGGTATCGTATTTATTTAAACAGGTTTTTTTGTTGTTGACTTCCTTTTAGCCTCTGCCTAAAGCTATCAAGATAGATAGCCAGCTATCAAAACATAACTGATTTTTTGTGCTTTTCTTCAGAGATTTTTAAGCTGTATCACTAGTGCATATCTGTCTTTACAATTCTGTTTTTAAAAAAAAATCTTGACTATTTTGGAGGTGTTTAGTAATGTACACCCTAAGCTTGGCTGTTGGTTTTCTCTCAGTAGAACGCATCGTTAAATTTGACCTGAAACTTTGAACTTCTTTTCAATTCAGGCTGCAAGGAATCTAGTGTTAACTGGTAGAATATCGGTTATCATATCTGTTCTACTTTTTTGAATTGTGGATGGAAGGGTGTATGCTCTGAAGTCCTGTTTGCAGATTTCAGTGCTACTTTTATTTTTTTTTTTCCCTGAAGAAAACACTGTGGTGCCTATCAGTACACTTTTCAGTTGTATAAGCGTAAGTCTGAAGTCCAAACCTCAGGCATGTTTGCACTTGTTTTAATCACAATGTCAGTCATTTTCCTACTGTGCATTAAAATTACACATAATACTTAAGATTTTTTTTCTCATTTGCAAGAGGCATTAACAATTTTATCAGATTTGTTTTCTCATTGGTAGGTAACAACAGCATATGCCTGTTAATTGTAGTCTTATCTGAAATGTGCAGTTCATAGTTTGCTGAGCAGTTTCTGCTTGGGCAGTGCCTAACACTTGTAGGGGCAGAATGGAATCA